ATATTTCTTTATTGGGCATACTCTGCCATTTGAGGTTAGGCTTGACTGAGCAAAAGGCCTTGGAGAAATGCAAGGGATGCCCCAAGCCCACTGAGCTCAGCATTGTTCATTTGGTTGTGGGTAGGCACGTTGGCCTAGACTGCATGTCAGCTGATAAACAGCAGCTGGAGCAACTGAACAAATACAGAGCTGCAGATGCTTTGCACGAGTAGGGCTAACTTTAAAACAGCTCACTTAGCAGTGTTTCTCAAAGTGAGTTCCTTGAACCTCCTGAATAAGAATCACTGAGAGGTTGGGAAATGCTACTAAAAACACTGATTTATGGACTGGTTTAGCAGCACAGTGGGTAGTGTGCTGCTTAGAAGAAGTTGTATCCATATGAAAGGTCGCAAGTTCAAGTTCTCTGTACATGCTAAGCATGCACACCAATGATCCTGACTGGTTGGGAAAGTTGGTGGAAGGGTGGGTGCAGGGATTGAGGCCTGGAGTCTTTTAGGGGTGCTTGTATTTCTTTCTCTCTCTTTTCCTCTCTCTGTCTTTTGCTGACTCTGTCTCTCATTGCATGGAAATGAAACAATTTACTCCTGAATGACTTTAAAACCACTGAAGAAATCAAGACTGAAATTCAAAAATTTCTTCAAACTACTGATAACAAAAACACAACTCTCCAGAATCTTTGGGACATAGCAAATGTAGCCCTTAATGCTGAGGGAATTTGATAGCAATTAGTGTGCAAAAGAAAAAAAAAAAAAAAAGATGGCAAGTAAAAACTTAACACAACTCAAGGAATTGAAAAGCAACAACAAAAGCCTTCCGAAAGTACCAGAAGAAGAGAAACAATACAGAATAGAGCAGAAATAAATGCAATGGAGAATAAAAGGACAATACAAAAAATAGACAAAATAAAAAGCTAGTATTGTGTGAGGTTGAATAATAAAAAAAAACACAAAAAACGTTAGACTAACCAAAAAAAAAAAAAAAAAAAACACCCAAAACCCCCAAACAAACAAAAACAAAAACAAAGGAACCAGATAAATAAAATCAGGAATGAGTTGGGTGATATCACAACAGGTATTACAGAAATGTAAAAGATTATGAGAGAATGCTGTGAATGACTATATGCCAACAAACTGGAGAACCTAGAAGAGATGGACAAATTTAATTTCTGGACACATAGTATACTTAGATTTAACCAGAAAGAAATAAAATGCCTGACTAGACCAATAACAATCAGTGTGATTAAGTCAATAATAGACTCCCAACAAAGAAAAACCCAGGTCCTGATGGCTTTGCTTCTGAATTTTACAAAACTTCCGAAAAATAATTAACACCAACTATCTTCAAACTATTTATAAATACCCACGTGGAAGGAAACCTACAAAATCCATTCTATGAAGCCTCCATCATCTTGATACCAAAAGCAGACAGAGCATAACAAAAAAAAAAAAAAGAAAACTACACACAAATACGTGTGATAAATACATATATAAAAACCCTCAACAAAATGCTAATGAATTGAACCAACAGCAAAAATGTATAGATGCAAGGACAGTTAATGTATACAAAACAATAAATGTAATATACCACATTAACAGAAAGAAAGATAAAATCATATTATATCAATTGAAGCAGAAAAAAAATTTGACAAAATACAACATCCTTTCATGATTAAGACTCTCAAAAAATAGGTACAGAAATTTCACTTTTCAACACAATAAGAGCCATATATTACAAGCCCAACTACAATCACACTGAATGGGGGAAAAGCTGAAAGCATTCCCTCTAAAAGCTGGAAAAAGACAAGACTGTCCAGTTTCTCCACTCCTTTCAACACAGTATTGGAAATTCTAGTCAGTATAATCAGACAAAAGAGTGAAATAAGAGGCATTCAAATAGGAAAGGAAGAAGCTAAATTGTAATTATTTGCAGATGACATGGTTATATACATAGAAAATACAAACGAATACATGAAAAAATTCCTAAAAGTAATAAATGAATCAGCAGAGTGGTGGGATACAAATCAACATACAAAAATCTATACAATTTTTAAATATGAACAATGAATAGATTGAGGAAGAACTGAAGAAAGTAATCCAATTTTCAATAGCCACACACACAAAGAACTACCTATGAATAAATCCAACCTTCTAGGAATAAATTTAACCAAAGAAGTGAAAGACTTCTACAAGTAAAACTAAGAAAAACTGAAAAAAATACATTAAAAATGATACCTCAAGGGAACCAGCAGTTAGCGTAATGGCTATGTCGCTGGACTCCCACGTAGTCGACCGCGGTTCGCGTCTCGGACCCGGTGGCTTAAATCTCACGCCGGGCGCGTGTGCGTGCGTGCCCAAGATTCTGAGAGGAGAATGGAGGAGAAGGGATTGCGGCGTGACCATCCCCCCTGGGGGGCGATTTCTCGCTTTCTGTCCCTATGTCTCTGTCTGTCTGGCGAGCACACGCGCCCTATAGTGAAAACCTCTCCAAAAAAAAAAAAATGATACCCCAAAATGGAAAGACATCCTTTGTTCTTGAGTTGGAAGAATTGATATAATTAAAATTTCAATTCTACCCAAATAATTTACAAGTTTATTGTGATTCCTATCAAATTATCAGTGACATTCTTGACTGAAATAAGAAAAAACAATTGTAAAATTGACCCAGAAATATAAAAGACCCTATGTCACCAAGACATTACTGTGCACAAAGACTAAGGTAGGAGGTATTGCACTACGCAAACTCAAAATATATAACAAAGTGATGATAATCAAGACAGCATAGTAATGGTACAAAAATAGATATATAGAGCAGGATAGAGAATACAGAAATCAACTCCTACATACATAGCTAAATGATTTTTGACAAAAGGCACAAGACAATCCAGTAGAAAACAGTAAGTCTTTTCAGCAAACATTGCTGGAAGAACTGGATATACACTTGCAGAAAAATGAAACTAGACCCAATCTTTCACCATTAACAAGAATAAACTCAAAATGGATCAAAGGTTTAAATGTAAAGTCTCAAACTATAAAACTATTTCTGAAAGCATGTGGGAAACACTTGATATTGGAGTAGACAATAGATTTCTTAAATGAAATCCCTAAAGCAAGATAATTCTAAACATAGACAAGTAGAATTAAATCAATCTAAAAAGTTCCTGAACAGAAAGGGAAGCAACCAATACAGTGAAGAGACAATTCACAGAATGGGACAAAATATTTGCAAACTATGCTTCATATAAAGGACTGATAACCAGAATATATAGGGAACTCAAGCAGTTTGCTTGCAAAAAATATAATTATCCAATTTGAAGAAGGGCAAACAAACTGAGTAGGCAACTCCCAAAGGAAGACACATGAATGGCCAAAAAACAGATGGAAAAATGTTCAGCATATCTTACCATAAACAAAATACAAATCAAAACCCTAATGAGGTAAATCAGTAGATGGTGTGGTGGTTAAGGTGTTGGACTCCCACATAGCCAACCGTGGTTCAAGTCCTAGACCTGGCAACTTGCTTTTTCATTTTCTCACTTTCTCTCTCCCTCTGGTGAGCACATGTGCCCAATAATAACGACTAATAAAATGAAATAGTTGAAAAAAAAAACACAATGAGGTATCACTTAACCCCAGTTAGAAAGGCTGTGGTCAATAACAACCACTGCTGGCAAGGCTCTGGTAAAAAGAGAACCCTCTTGTACTACTGGTGGAAATGTACATTAGGACAGACACTGTGGAAAATTCTCAAAACTTTATAAATAGGACTACTATATGACCCAGTAATCCCACTCCTTGATATTTCAAACATTCAGTCTGAAAGACACTTGGACATCCATGTTTATTATAGCATTATTTATAGTAGCTAAGATATGGCATCAACATAAGGGCCCAACAACTGATGACTAGACTTAAAAAATGGCACATAGGGACCAGCGGTTAGCGTAATGGCTATGTCGCTGGACTCCCATGTAGTCGACCACGGTTTGCTTCCTGGACCCGGTGGCTTAAAACACGCCGGGCGCGTGTGCGTGCGTGCCCAAGATCCCAAGAGGAGAATGGAGGAGAAGGGATTGCGGCGTGGCCATCCCCCCTGGGGGGTGATTTCTCACTTTCTGTCTCTATGTCTCTCTCTGTCTGTCTGGCAAGCGCACGTGCCCTATAGCAAAAACCTCTCCAATAAATAAATAAATAAATAAATGGCACATATACAGGATAAAATACTACTCAGTCAAAAAGAACAATGAGACTCTCATTTTCTATAAAGTGAATGAATATAGAAGAATTAATGCTAAGTGAAACAAGCCAGGCTTTGAAAGACAAACAGTCAATATATACCTAATATCTGTACTCTACGGCAGAAATCGAAAGATTCAAAGACAGAAAAGTAGAAAAGACAAGTATTGATACCAGAGACTAAATGTGGGGAGGGGGTGTGGGAGTGTGGGAGTGGGGGTTGGGCAGGAGAAGCTTAGGAAAAAGGGCCTAAAAGACGCAAGAATGTAAGGTTCTTTGTTGAAAACTATGAGTATAGTAATAGCCTTTATTTGATTATCACACACTACATGCATGCATTGAAAACTATATTGTATGCCATGAAAGTGTATAATTAGCTGTAAACAATAAATCATTAAAAATAGAGAAAATGAAAAAAAAAGAGAAACTATAAAATAAATGAAAGATCATAGCTCCAATTCACAAATTTAATTAGTCAATTTTTAGACATTCAAGAGAGTGCTAACGTTCTTTTTTTTAGAGGGATTATAAGATAACAGATAACAAGAAGTTAAATTGTGAGCAGCAATTTTAGAAGAAAGCATAGAAACCAGAAAGGTAAATTCTAATTCAGAATTGGTAACGTTTGAAGACAAAGAAGCATGGCTTAATAAAAATGGTGAGTTTTTATTTGGTGTCCATGTGAAAGTACACCGAAATAGGAAAGAGTCTAATCAACAGGGAAAAAAGAATAAATAGGCATTCCTCTTTTTAAAATTAAAAACTTACTGCAATCGGGTTTTGTCTTTTAAGGAATTTTTCCTGGAGCTGTTCCCTTCACTGGAACTGTCCTCCTCCTCGGTCTCCAGACTCCGACTGCAGCTCCTGATGACCTGAAAGATGCTGTTGACAGTCGACTCTTTCTCTGAATTCTTTAAGCCATTCTGTCCCACTCGTTGTAAGAAATTATCTTGTCCACTGTAATCTGCTACAAACTACAGAAAAACATATTAAGAATTTGCTATTGCACTGTTTATAATATGTCTGAATAACCTAGTTGGCTTGGGAAACAAAATCGTAACAGTAATAAATAATGATATTTGTGCCTATTTTATTGGAATGAAAACATGAACCTCCAGAAAAAAACGTGTTTCATTTCACAGCATGAAATATCAAAACTCACTCTTGTTTGCACTGAGACACATTTCATCTCTTTAGGAAGCAACACTCTACTTCAAATTTAAAACATAACAAGTAATATTATTTCAGAGCTCCCTAGGGAGAAGATTAGCCTTTATAGAGGAAGGGAGGAGTTATTTTATACTTGTAGTAAAAACTGAGGAAAACCATGACAAAGTACACCAATCTATGGAGCTGGAGAAAATGGCTGGGGCCTAGATTAGTAGTAGGTGGCATAGTGGTTAAGGCACTGGACTCCCACATGGCCAACTATGGTTTGAGTCCCAGACCTGGCGGCTAGCTTTTGCCCTTTTCTTCTCTCTCTATCTCTCTCTCTGGTATGCACATGTACCCTACGGCAAACAACAAACAAAATTAAGTTAAATTAAATAATTCTTTAAAAAAAAAAAACAAATGGCTGGGGCCCAAGGGAAACATTCACGAAAGGTGGTGTTTTCCCTTGTTGCCAACATATCCTACAGTAACACAGTGGCTTCTTTGTTTTTGTTTTGTTTTGTTTCACCAGAGGGTGTGAGCACTCTCCATAGGAAGAGAGAGAGAGTCAGAGACAGAAAGGTGAGAGGAGAGAGATAAGGACCCTTCAATGATATGCTGTCATGCCGTAACCCCTTTTTCACTCTCCATTCTGTTGTCATTTGGGGTATGCATGCACACGCACCCTGTGTGCTTTTCAAGCTGCCGAGTCAAGATTTTAACAATGGTCAGCAGGTGAGATCTGGTTCCCTTAACCAGTAGGTACTGGGTTGGCTCCTGGGGTTTTTAAGCTCTTATTTTGAGGAAGCTTCTTCCACTGGAAGTGAGAGCTACAGCTGGGCCAAGAGCTGTGTGTGTGCAAGGGGATAGGAGGAGACTGGCCATGCTGCAATATCTTCTCCATTTCTCCTCTCAAAATTTTGGGCATGCATACACATGAACCTGGCATGTTTTTCAAGTCACTGGGACTGGGACTCGGCCATGTGAGATCAAGCACCTTAACCACCATGCTGCTGGGCTCAAACTCTCTCTCTCTTTTTTTTTTTTTAACAGTTTGTTGCCATAGAGTATGAGTGCTTGCTGGAGAGGAGAGGGACAGAGAGATACAGAGAGAGACAGAGAGAGGGAAAGTGAGAAATCATACCCCAGCAGGGATAGCCATGTTGTACTCCTGTTTCCTCATTCTCCTCTCAGGATTTTGGTCATGCATACGCACACACCCAATATCAGTTTCAAGCTGCTGGGTCTGGGACTTGAACCATGGATAGCCATGTGAGAATCCAGTTTTCCTTTCTTTTCTTTTTTTAATGTATTTTTTAATTTCAAGAAAAACAGTTTTAGTTATAATAGATGAAAATCAAAAAATGTTAAGAGAAAAATTTGCTTAAAACTTAAAGCCAGGGAAAAGGTTTGGACCCAGTTCAAATAGTAGGTAGATGAACCTATCAACAGTTCAAGACAAAAACCTTTAAATATGGAAATCAAAGCATTGAAGAAAATCAGTAATGTTTTACTCTAAAGTAAAAAGAATTCTATTCCACTAGTTCGGTCTTATGTACTTAATCTCTCTTCTATTGAATGTGCAGTGTTACTGTGGTCTGATCTTTCCATTTAAACTCTGGAAGTTAGTCAACTCCAGACTTATTTCTACCATTAGGCTGGCCATTCTCTTCGTTGTTCTTTGGACTCTTATTTCTGTGTGTCCGACTTTAGTTTTCCTGGTATAGCACTTCCTTTGGCACTTCTCGCTGAGTTGGTCTGATATTGGTAAATTCTGTCAGGTTTTATTTATCTGAGAATATATTTTTTTCCCATATGAAAGATAATCTTGCTGGGTATAATATTCTTGGTCGAATTTTTTTTTTATTATCACTTATTTATTTATTTTTACATTTTCCCACATTTACTTTGCATATCGAAAATTTTTGCTCATACTCCATAGTTCTTGACAGTTAATCAACAACTTTAAAAATGTAAAAAACCTGAATTTTAATGATAATGTTTGAAATATTTGCTATAATTTTGTTTGTGATTCTATAACAACAGAGACAGTATGGTTTTAAATAATTTTTGAGAAAATATTTACATGTCAACTACTCAAACTGTTGAAAAGCAGACACCCAGCACATAATTCACACATACACCTTCTCAATTTGGCCCTGCCTACCAAGTATTCTGTGATATACCATCTGCTAGCAAAGATCAGTCTCTTTTTCTTCTTTCAAAATCTTCCTCAAGATAATCCTCTGTTTGTGGCTGCACCTTTAGAATCTCTACTGATTACAATGCTGGGCTGGAAAAGTCCAGGTTATTTTATGGTACAGATTCTTTCACATGGCTTCACTAATCCTCTCTGCTAGGCGGAACTGTTTATGGTGCCAGGCCATCTTTCCAAAAGCTTCTGTTGGCTTATTTGAGATCCACCTTAGTTCCACAGTTTTCTGGTTTAATCTTCAGATATGATATTCCAGTCAAAGCTCTGTCCAATAACAAGTATTTTCAATTTTTGATTAAATGCAACAAGTATTATTGAATTTATGCAAATAATCATTCTGTCACAAAATAAGAATACTTCCAAATATTTTTCAATTCCAGAGGGGCCAGGAAGAGAGAAAAGTTTGTTTCCATTCAAAGAAACAGAAAAACATGAAGAAAAAACATTTTAACAAATCGTTGAATCTATGAACAGCTCAAAAGAAAGCAAAATCCTTAAATTTGGAAAAAAAGCATAGTAAAAATAAAATCAGTAATGTTTTTACTCAAAAGTCATAAAATTCTATTTCGCCAGTTCAGTCTTATGTAATTAATCTCTCTTCTGTTGAATGTGCAGTGTTATTGGGTCTGATCTTTCCATTTAAATCCCGGAAGTTAACATTCAATGTTATTATTGATATTTCTTGTGTCTCTGCAGTGGTTTCTCGTCATCTGATAGATTATACATTTCTTCTCATTTTTGGAGTTAAAATCTGAGCATTCAGAGGAATGCAGGAGGAGACCTGAAATCTTGAAACAGTATCATTTTTCTCCCTTTGCGCAGCTGATTCAATGGAAATTGAGGATTAATCTGACCCTAAAAGTCTTCAGGTATTTGCTACTGAGCACCTAGACCTGTCTAAAAAACCAGTATGTGGAGGCTGGCTCCTGGCTAGATCTGGGGAAGGAGGGTGGAGTCTGGGCAGAAAGTCTTCATTGGTCCTAATCATCCAGCTTTCTTAATCACCATGCCACCTGCTGGCCTTCAAACCCTCTTTTTTAAAGCTAATCTGAAATATACAATAAATTGTTGTTAACTACGGCTACCCTACTGTACTTTATAATACTAGAACTTGCTCCTCTTATCTAACTGTGATTTTGTGTCTGTTAACTAACATCTTTCATCTTTAAACACCTTAAAGGAAGTTATATCTTTTTCTCCCAGTTTCTCAATACACCTTCTCTCAATGGCCAAACCCTGAGTCAAAGCCCATACCATATTCTCAACTTCAGGAATAAGGAGCAAAAAGCCAAGGGCCTGGGAGAATGGAGGAAGCTGGGATCAGGAGCCTGGAGGCTGCTTTAGAGGAGGCAGTAGCCTCCCCAGCATCTTCCCATAAAGGATGAAGAGGAGGTAGCACTGACTTCCCACCACTGCTCTTTTTCCTACTGATTTGGAAAAGTTAATACACTCACTTGACTTTCTTTATCCTCTGTACCCAGACATTCCGACTCTTAGAGAAAACTTTTATTTTTTAAAGAGAGATTTTTATTATGGGGTGTGTGTGCTGGAGAGACAGAAAGTGAGAAATCAACCCCCAGGGGGGATGGCCACACCACAATCCCTTCTCATTCTCCTCTTGGCATTTTGGGCATGCACGCACACACACTGATGCATTCTTTTTTGGAGAGGTTTTTGCTATAGGGTGCGTGTGCTCGCCAGAAAGACAGAGAGAGACAGAGAGATAGAAAGTGAGAAATCACCCCCCATGGGGGATGGCCATGCCGCAATCCCTTCTCTTCAATTCTCCTCTCGGAATCTTGGGCATGCATGCACACACGCCCGGCATGAGTTTAAGCCACTGGGTCCTGTGTTTGGCTACATGGGGGTTAGGAAACATAGCCATTACGCTAACTGCTGGTCCCTTTTTTTTTTTTAAAAAAAAAAAGAGAGATGTTTACAATATGGTGCAGGCACTCACTGGAGAGACAGAAAGAGACAGAGAGACAGAAAGCAAGAAATCGCCCCTCAAGGGGGATGGCCATGCTGCAATCCCTACTCGTCCCTTCTCCTGGTATCTTGGGCATGCACTCACGCTTGCCTGGTGTGAGTTTTTAACAACTGTGTCCAGGACTTGAATTGTTGTCAACTACATGGGAGTCCAGCAATGTAACCATTTCACCATCTGCTGGTCCCAGAGAAAACCTTTTTAAATATGTTATCAAGCAACACCCTTTTCTGCTTGTACTTAAAGTATGTCACATTAAACCTAATTTAACAACACTAAGCTCTTAACAGTGCGAGCAGACATCATTTTCTCCAGAACTTTCAAAGACCTCTTTGTTACCCAGGAGCAACAGAGCAACCATCAACCTAGGGCTCAACAAACGGGCTCTTCTCACACCAGTGAGAACAGGCAGTGCTTGACGAGGCAGTGGCCATGACTCCTCATGTCAGGAGGACTGGAAGGGTCTCACCTCTAAAGTCTCTTCTTGGGAATTGTACCGCGGGCAAAGCTTCATGAGGCCCGAGGCTCCATCCAGGACTTCACAGAGCTCCTTCAGAAACACCCCGCAGAACGGGACCACCTTGCAGCCAGGGATGTGCAAGGCCCGGGTCACCACCTTTCTGTACTCGCAGGAAGACTCGTGCTGAGCCATGGCATCCTTCAGGCTCCTCATGGTCTCGATGTCCGACTGGTCCATAAACTGCCACATTTTTAAAACTTTTCTTGACCTATTGCAAGTAAAGGACATTTATTTTTAGACTGAGGAGAAATAATATATAGTAAATAGTTCAAGTTCCATACAAATTCATTCTTTTTACCTTCTAAATGTTCTTTAGAACATAAAAAATGTTAAGATTTAAGATTTCTACTCCCCAAAATGACATATTATTTTTGTAAATCAAAACACAAAATTAAATAGGACAAAAACAAATATGAGCAGGTGTTAAGATGAGTGCATTATGGATGCTGCACAGAGAAGGTGGGCGGGAGCCTTTCTGGCGGTCACAGTCCAAAGAGTAGCCGTAGTGGGGAATATGGGTTAATATGAAAATCGATGAAGTGGGAGTCCAGCAATGTAACCATTTCACCATCTGCTGGTCCCAGAGAAAACCTTTTTAAATATGTTATCAAGCAACACCCTTTTCTGCTTGTACTTAAAGTATGTCACATTAAACCTAATTTAACAACACTAAGCTCTTAACAGTGCGAGCAGACATCATTTTCTCCAGAACTTTCAAAGACCTCTTTGTTACCCAGGAGCAACAGAGCAACCATCAACCTAGGGCTCAACAAACGGGCTCTTCTCACACCAGTGAGAACAGGCAGTGCTTGACGAGGCAGTGGCCATGACTCCTCATGTCAGGAGGACTGGAAGGGTCTCACCTCTAAAGTCTCTTCTTGGGAATTGTACCGCGGGCAAAGCTTCATGAGGCCCGAGGCTCCATCCAGGACTTCACAGAGCTCCTTCAGAAACACCCCGCAGAACGGGACCACCTTGCAGCCAGGGATGTGCAAGGCCCGGGTCACCACCTTTCTGTACTCGCAGGAAGACTCGTGCTGAGCCATGGCATCCTTCAGGCTCCTCATGGTCTCGATGTCCGACTGGTCCATAAACTGCCACATTTTTAAAACTTTTCTTGACCTATTGCAAGTAAAGGACATTTATTTTTAGACTGAGGAGAAATAATATATAGTAAATAGTTCAAGTTCCATACAAATTCATTCTTTTTACCTTCTAAATGTTCTTTAGAACATAAAAAATGTTAAGATTTAAGATTTCTACTCCCCAAAATGACATATTATTTTTGTAAATCAAAACACAAAATTAAATAGGACAAAAACAAATATGAGCAGGTGTTAAGATGAGTGCATTATGGATGCTGCACAGAGAAGGTGGGCGGGAGCCTTTCTGGCGGTCACAGTCCAAAGAGTAGCCGTAGTGGGTAATATGGTTTAATATGAATATCGATGAAGGAGGCCTGCAGAAGCCTGGCCCATTCACTCCTCTGATCTTTTAAATATTATCCTTGGATTAAGTCAGTCTGTTAGTGATATATATGAAGCCTACCATTTTGGCTTTTAATGCAGAATTGCTTTTTACTGAATTGAGTTTTGACATTAAGTCACCAGTCCATTCCCCCTCCCCCTTTTCTTTATTGATAGAATGTGTGCGTGCACATGTGAGAGAGCGTAGTGCATATGTGAGAGAGAAGAGTACCCTCCACAGGGTCTGGTCCCCTTCTTCAGTCATCTAACCTGTTGGATTTTGGCCCCTTGAGCCTGTGCCTGGTATTGTTCAGGCTGACCTGGTGTAGTTCAGGCAAGAAGTTCAAACTCGCAGTCACCATGTGGGATCGGGCATCTCTGGACAGTGCATTACGGCTCTGCCATGGAGCCAGCCCTGTCCAGTCCACTTGGAGGGATGTTATCTTAAAGGATTATTTGCATAACAGATGTTAAATGGGACCTTCCTATTTTGAAGCCATTGTTAAGGACAACCAGTGACTGGGCTAGTCCTGTAGCACAGCAGTGAAACACTGTGCACAGCCACCCATGTGGCTGACGGCAGTTCAAGTCCCAGTCCAGTGGCTTGAGAAACATGCCAGGTGCGTGTGTGAGCATACCCAGGGTCCTGACGAGATGGATAAATGGGAGGGGGTTTGCAGCACGACCATGCCCTATTGTTGGTGCTCCCCCCTCTCTAGTAAGCGCCATACACCCTTTATAATTAAAAAGAAGAGCAACCAGTTACATTGTACCCCACCTTCTAAAGAGAGGTTTCTGGGTGCCACAAGGGAATGACCCAAACTGCTCTGCCCTCCATGGTTTCTTGCCCTCTCATCTTCCTTCAGCCCACACAGTTGAGTGGGATCTGAGCAGATAGGTTGGGAATATGTCTTCAGAGAGTTGTGGGAGGGCTCTGTGTGAAAAGAAGGAAAACCACCCCCTAGCACAGGCGGCTTGATGTAAGCTCCATGGAGATGTTGACCTATAGCTGGGGCAGTGAGTTGGTCACATGGACTGGGTGCTACTCTTGCCTACACATGAGGATCTGGCTAAAGCTGCCTAATAGCAAAGTGAGAGGGAATGTCCTGGTGGGAGTGTCCTGTGTTGGCAGAATTGGGAGGTAGAGTGCTGACTGCTTCCTGTGAGTCAAGAGTGGAAAGAGGGGACCAGCAGTTAGCATAATGACTATGTCGCTGGACTCCCATGTAGTCGACCACAGTTTAAGTCCAGGACCCAGTGACTTAAACTCATGCTGGGCGCGTGCCCAAGATCCCAAGAGGAGAATGGAGGAGAAGGGATTGTGGCATGGCCATCTACCCTGGGGAGTGATTTCTCGTTTTCTATCTCTCTGTCTCTCTTTCTGTCTTTCTGGCGAGCGCACGCGCCCTATAGCGAAAACCTCTCCAAAAGAAAAGGAAAAAGAAAAAGAAAAAGAAAAAAAGAAAAAAAAAAGAGTGGAAAGAGATTGGACCTGAGCTATCTTGAAAGTCCTGCCTGCCAAAAGAGAGGACCCCACAGAAAGAACCTGTGAGGGAAGGACTTCTGGAGCTGGGCCCTGAGGAATGAGGACAGAGTGGTCAACCTCAGGGTGTGCTGCATCCATCAGGTGATGGTGGAGTGCGAGGTCCCCAGAAGATGGGGTGGGGGAGGTTGGAGGAAGTAACAGGAGAGAAACCCTGTAAGCACACTGCATCAGTTTCTACAAGGGCACTATGGCTGGATCACAACCAACCTGGTCAGGTAAGACCTCTTTCTCCCTTTACCCCTCTCCTACCCACTGTTTCTGCAGAATTCTAAACTGGAGGGAAGAGGGAATAAAGATACACTATACCTTACGCCCTACTGCAAACTTCTAAGACGGCTTTGGCTGTGAGATGTGGAGAAGGGAAGAAGCTTTCAACTGAGCCAGAGCTTGAATTTTGGATTTTTGGGATTAAAAAATTATTATGGAATATATAAGATATCCAATAGACACAGATTATGACATAAGAACCGCCCTGCATACCAAATTCTCAGTCCAAATCAAACATCCAACAATATGGTTGGCGCTCCAGTGGACTCTTCCCTGAGCACACATTCCCCCTGTCTCTTATTGGAAGGAATCACAATTCCAACCTAGGAATTCTCTTTTCCTTTCAATTCTCTACACTTTCCCAACATATGCAGACATTGCTAAGCAAGTTACAGAGTTGCTTTTGTGTCTTTAAACACAAAAGCATTCCGTAAACGGAATCGCATTGTGGGTACTCTTAGGAACCTCAATGTGTCTGAGATTCATTCACCTTCATGAGCATAGGAAAATGAGACTGCTTATTAACAACAGTGAGTGGAAAAGCCAGCAAGATGGCCCAATGTATACTCTAGGGTTGGGGGGTGGGGGGGAGAGCAAACTGGGCAGGTTTGGAAAGCAGTGGGCTTTCACCCAACTCAGGAGCATGGGATCAGCTTCTGTGTGTTGGAAGCCACATGGCCAACCGAGGGTTTGGATTCCTATTCAACCTGGAATATGCCAGGTGTGTGCACAGGCACACTGAAGGGTGAGGGAAAGGGTTGCAGGAAGGGGATCACAGCATGCTGAGATCCTGGTAAGGTGCCCTCCCCACATGTGTGCAGGTGCTTGCTATCATGAATAAAATACATTAAAAAGGAGAAATGCAGTGAAGTCAGAAAAATAAAATTGTTTTCTGATTCTATCCCACTAAGTCCATCCTGTCCTACAATTGAATTGTTTTTATTGATTAATTATTATTCTTCTTCTTTAATTTGTTATAGGTCACATGTGCTCATGAGAGAGAGAGAGAGAGAGAGAGAGAGAGAGAGAGAAGGTGAGAAAGCCAGTCACCAGAGCTGACACTCAAACCATGGTTGATCATGTGGGAGTCCAGCACCTCAACACCAAGCCACCTGCTGGTTGCTACAACTGAATTCTTACAAGGCAGTAAGAATCCTTTTTTAGGGAATGAGAAGAGGTATAAATAAATTAAGTGAATGAATGAACAAGCAAGCCAGGTTCTCATTACTTAAACATCTTCATTTGTGTATGCAGTGGAGTAGTCCTGGCATGCCTGGGGACAAAAGACTAAATACTTTTGTTAGTGAAGGTCAATTACTAAGGTTAGATTGAGAATTCATACTACTTTAAGTACTTTTATTTCTTTTTATGATTTTGCTAGATTGAGAATTGATACTACTTTAAATATTGCTGCCTTTTTTTTAAGAGTCCACATTTGTATTTCTTTGTAGAAAATCTAGAACCTGCCAAGATATAGGAAAGTCACATACAATTTTACCACACACAGACATCATTAGGGACATTTCCTTTTTGGCCGTGTTTGATTTTGAATTCAAACTAAACTCGATCCAAAGGTCGAATTCACCCTAGGTCTTTCCAGGTCATGATAAGGCCATTTTCTAATCAGGACACTCTAGGACATGGTATGTGACAGCCTGCCTCCAGGATGACCCTGATCACTGGTCCACATCATCTGACATTACTGCTCTGGGTAGCTCCCACCCACAATAAATCTGAACTGTACCTCTGTGACCAGTACAGTATGGAGGAAGTGTCAGTGTGACTTCTGAGCCTAGGACCCAAAAGGCATTGCAGCTTCTGCCTCGTTGTCTTGCAGCATTCACTTTGGAAGGAGCCAGCTACCAGGTTATAGGGCAGTCACATACATAGTAACAGGAAGTGAGGCCCCAGCCAACAGCCAGCACCAATCAGCCAGTCAAACACAGAACGATGAGCATCATTAAACTATGTCATGGAGCTGTTTTACCATAAGGTAATTATCCTGCTCTCTCTCTCTCTCTTAAGGTTTACTCATTTATTTCTTGTATAAACGAGACAGACAGAAATGGAGGGACAGTACCTCCACTACGGTCTTGATGCTATGATTCACCACAGCCTCAGCCAACCCCAGATCATGGGTGTGTGTGCACCCAAAGTACTCAGGGAGGTGTCCGGATGTGAATCCAGAACCTTCCCACGTAGGTCAGCCTTGCAGAGTGTCACGTTTTACCACTGTGCCACTGTTTGGCCCCTAATCATTTAAGAAATGTTACAGGTTCTTTGTAGAAGAGTTATCATGAAGAGAATCAAAATCACTTGACTAGAGCCTCCTATTCTTCAAATATTTTTCTTTCTTTTAAGCAACCATTTTAAATATTAATGACATGGTTATCTGAGTTTATTCTTAGTTAAGAAAGTTCAAAAGGATTTGGGGAATTTTTATCTCTTCCTCCAACCCAGTATCCCCATGTAAAGATCTGAAGAATCAATAATGCTATGAAGTAAGATTCTCTTACAGTGAGAGGCCTCATAGGGATGGGGCATCTCAAAAGCAATACTGCCACCACCACCACCAGCTTCCCCTTATGGAGCCTTACTACTAGGTTGTTGGGAAAGTCATGAGCATTTTTACATGGAAAAATACATCATAACTTTCTTAATGACCTAAGATATGCCAGGCACAAACGATGAACACTTCACATTATTTCACCAAATCCTATGGGAAGATGCACTTTTTAGTACGATAGCCATTTAACAAAGGAAGAAACCAAGCCCCAGTGAGGTCAAGTAACTTGCCCAGATCACACAACTACTCTGTGGGGAAGGCAGGATTTGACGCCCTGAGTTCTGATTCGACAACTCACGGTCATCTTCCTCACACACCTTGCTGTCTCCCACAGGCGTGAGGGCAGTCACTTTTGCCAGGTAACTGAGGCTGAAGGGAATAAGTTGGGAGACTCCACTGACAGAATGGCATGCTGTTACTTACTCAGTGGAGGAGGAACTAGAGTGGACCACACAGTGGTCAAGATCATGGGCTCTGGAATCAGGCTTGCCTGCCTTCCGTGCCAGGTGACCTTGAGCGAACGACTTCACTTCTCTTACTTTAGTTTTTCGTTTGTTTGTTTTTGTATTTTGTGGGAATAGTAATAGTAGCTACCTTAAACACTGTTTTGAGAATTAAAGATGCACTGCACAGAACACGATTAGCCAATGCGTGATGTACAGGAAGTGTTCAATGATGATGAGAGGCAACTTTGTAGGAAGCTGCTTATGGTCAATACTAACCACTGTGATTCCAGGGGCAGCTGGTAGTCAGGAGCTTACAGGGCTGAGGCGATTCGTAAGGCAGAGCTGAAAGCAGTAGATCACAGGGGGTTTTACAGGGAAGAAAGGGGACTAGAAGGGTCTGCGATGGGGTTGATGGGGTTATGCAACGAGGTAATTTCCCTCAGCTTGACCAGGAGAATGGGACCAGATAATCAGGATCATGACTTGCCCAAGGCTTGTGGTGTGGGAAGATACATTTCCCCAAGTAATCACAACCAATCGCCTGGCTGGGACCAACACGGCTCCCCAGCAATTCATTCAGTGCCCTTCAATGGAAAGAGGAAGCTGTGCCCAGACAGCTGCATCCCCAACCATACCTGAGGCCAGCCAGGAACTCCATGACCGCGTTGTAGTTGCCCATGTTCCAACAGCACTTGGCCACGTGCACCAGATATGAGAAGACTTCCCGCTTCTCCTCCATGGAGCCCGCGGTGAGGATCAGCCACGTCACCCAGGAGCTCACCTGGACATGCAGAGAGAGGCAGTTATGAAGTATGAAGCTTGATGAGTATTTGTTCACAAGGAAACTTCCTTTCCTTTTTTTCCCCAAGTCTAGTTGTTATTAGGAAATGAAGACCCAGCTGAGAGATTGAAACCCGAGCTTCATCCCTGAGATTCTGGGAAAGTCGCTTAACCCTCTGCACCTCTTCATCTTCATTTTTAAAATAAGGAGGCTGAAAAGGGCAAGTTGCAAAATCTCTCTTGATCTATGCAATCCCGTGAGATTATAAGAAAATAAGGCCTGAGAATAATTCCAATGGAAATATATTTACCAGATGGACATCAAGAATAAATGTGATCTGCATACTTAACTCATAAATGAAAGATATTAATAAGTAGTAAAATACATCATCAAAACCACAAAAATATTTTTGAACAATCTTTTACAAATGCATTATTTACTTTGTTTCTCAAACAACAAAATAATAAGAACAAATACTTAATAACACTTACGATACACCAGGAAGCACTCTAAGGCCTTTACCTGTGTTACCTCCTTTATCACCACCATCCTCAGGGACTATTCTTATCCTGAGACTTGCCTAAGATCCCAAACCAATAGGTAGCAAAGCCTGGATTTGAACTTACAGTGTCCGCCTGGAGGCTGCACTCTTCATACTCACCAAATACCAAATGTGCTAGAAACTCGAATGTTCCCAGCTTGGGGCCTAAAGTTATTCTAAGGTGACTTGTTTCTCCACTACATACACTGTTCCCCACCTATGACATAGCCTCTAAACTACCTGGGTCATCTCTACGGTTATTTTGCTGCCACCTTTATTTACCCTGGGGCTGGCATTAGGTTCATTTACTTTCTCCAGCCTGGCTACTGTCTGGATTGGGAAATCCAGTTGTTAATAGACTAAGACTTGGTCTCGAGCCCACATGGTCCTCTTAGCCAGGCTCGGTTGACACATGTGGAAACCTGGGGGAGCAAATCTCTTCCCTGGCCTGAATGAGAATGAAGCACAAACAACATATCCCATGTGATCACAGGAACTAAGTTCAAGTAGATGACAAGCAGCCTCTGAGTTGATAAAAAATGGTAAGAATTAGGGCATGTGTGCTGGTAGTAACCACAGGGGATAGACCAGTCCCTTTTATTTATTTTTTTTAAAGATAAAGAATATATTGCTGGGCATGGTGATGTGTGCTGTAATTTCAAGTGCTCAGGAGGTCAAGGAAGGAGATCTGTGAGTTTGAGGCCAGACAGGGCAACATCGTGAGGCTCTGCCAGAAAGAAAGGAAGGAAGGAAGGAAGAAAGGAGGGAAGGAGGGAGGGAAGGAGGAAGAAAGAGAGAGAGAGAGAGAGAGAGAGAGAGAGAGAGAAACAAAAAAGAAAGAAAGAGAGAGAGAGAGAGAAGGAGCGAGCAAGCAAGAAAAATGGCTCCTGGGAGAAGTGACTTTCCAAGGTCAAATACTTCTTGTTTCTCTCAAAACTAGGACTTCCAGGGAACCAGCAGTTAGCGTAATGGCTATGTCGGGGGACTCCCACGTAGTCGACCGCGGTTCACGTCCCAGACCCGGTGGCTTAAAACACACGCCGGGCGTGTGTACGTGTGTGCCCAGGATCCTGAGAGGAGAATGGAGGAGAAGGGATTGCGGCGTGACATCCCCCCTGTGGGGTGATTTCTCACTTTCTGTCTCTCTGTCTCTCTCTGTCTGTCTGGCGAGCGCACGCGTCCTATAGCGAAAATCTTTCCAAACAAACAAAACTAGGACTTCCAGTCCAATGCTTCTTCATCTTATGAAAGGCAAGTTTCTTTAAACTTGGCTTTGGGTGGGTCCTCCTAACCACTAACTTTGAAGCTGAAGACAGCTGAAATGAGAGAGATGATACTAAGGGGAAAAAAATGACTAGAACAATGTGGGGGGGGAAAGAATGAAAGAGATGGCTGCTCAACACCTATTCCCAGCCTCTACACAGAAACAAACACAGGGAACAGCAGCAACAGGGAGTGTTAGTGATAAAATGAGGTTAAACTCTAGTACAGCCAGGAGCACAGGAGTAATAATTTGCCTCTTTCTTTTTTTTAAGTGTATTTATTTATTTCTCCTGAGAGAGAAAGAGAGAAAGCGCACTCCCAATGGTGTGTTGGCACTGTGACTCATCCCAGCTCTCGCCAGCCCCAGATCATGGGCAGGCGCATACCTGATGTGCTCAGGGAAGTCTCTGGAACCTTCCCAGGTGGGTCAGCCTCACAGAGCATCGAGTTCTACCTCTCTGTCCTCACGAAGCTCCCCTCATCCTTTCGGATATAGGCTAAAGTAGACGTGGTGATCACCTGACATTCCTGAGCCCCGCTCAAGCTCAGGGGGCTCCCAGCATGCACTCCTGCTCTTCTGCTCTGGGCTTTGCTGAGCCCTCAGGATGTATCAGGAGAACAGATCTGGAATCAGCCCCCTAGGACAAGCCCTAGTCCGGAGCATCCCAGGAACCTCTGGACTTCCAGAGCCAACCCCTCTCCTGCAGCTATTGTGTCCATGCCTTATCACTGATCTGAGAACCTGGTTAAAAATCACCTTCATAAAATCTTGACTTAACTAGAGCAAGAAATTATTTTACCAGCAGAGTCTGTCCTTGGTGCTCTGTGCAATTCTTTCTTTAGTCTGATTTGGTTTTGGTAAGCTCTCTTCTACAGTAGAAAACCATCAGTAAACATCTGGAATTATAACACTGTTGGATCTTTGAGTTGGAAATTCAAACCCTTCCCCTTACAAATAAAAATAGGAGGCTGAAAAGTCAAAATAGTCACCCAACTCAGTAGATGTTAAAGCCTATGGCTATTATTTTTTCCAAGGTTTTAGTTCCTTTCCTATCAAAACTGATGGTGAATCCAGGTCTCTGTAAAGTAACTGTTATTTTAGGTTATTCTGGTATCACACAGTGACTCACTAGTCCAGTAAAGGCTTAGCTGGAAAGGCTTGCTTCACAGAGAGAGAGGCCATCACTTGGCTTGTGTCTCAGTTCCGATCATACATACAGACTTATTTCCTTTCAGTTAAATCATTTTCTATATACTTTCCCACAACGTAGGAAAAAAATAGCAATACTGTCTTTCACATGGAAACCTAATTTAAACCAACTGTTCCTTTGCTGAGTATAAGTCCCCAGGGCCCCTGGTTGTTGAGATTATGTAAACACTGTTATCATAAACACACACACCAACATCTGCTTACAAATTTCAAGGACAATTCTTATTACCGCTTAGTAATGCATTTATAATTTTATAACCATTAAGTGGTGAGAACATCATTGCTAATTATGAAAAAACAAACAACACAGAAAGGAAATGAGGATTCAATGATGAATGTCAAGATGTTGTCCAAATCTAAAAGGTGGTCATCTTTACTAAGTGGAAAACGAGATTCCATGCCAACCCAGAAGCAACTGCAAGACAACTTCTGTGTTATCACACAGAAAACCACAAAAATCATATAAATGTAAAGTACTATGGCTCAAGCTTAGGGAACACCCCTCAAGTGCTCTATGCTTACCTGTGTAACCCAGAGGTGTTACCTACAGCAGATTAGTTGGCCTTCCTTTCTTTTTTCTTTTTAAGTTTTTACTTATTTTATTCATGATATTGTGCATGACAGAGAGAAGCAGAGACAGAAAGAGAGACAGAGAGAGAGAGAGAGACCCTCAGCAGGGTCTGACCACACTGCAATCCCCTTCTCCTAGTCCCCCAGCTTATCAGGAGGTTGAGCACATGTGTAATCACCCATCGTGTTTCAAAATGTTACTAGGATCCCCAGCTGGGGATTTGAATCCACAGTTGCCATGTGGCTTCCAGCACTATGTTTAGTACACTACAGACCCACAGAGGCTGGATCTTGGCCATTTTTTGATGGTCAACACAGAGCAAGGAGAGAATCTGGCCCCCAAGCCTGATTCTTTAATAGCTTTTCCCAGAAGGCTCTGGCATCCCCTGATTATCCCAACCCCCAGATCATGCCCAGAGCACCCCCACGAGAGCTCCTCTCCAAACCTTCTCCATCTTTCTTTCGCCTTTCTCAGTACTCTTTTGGCCTAGCCAAGCTGAGCAGTTTGTTCTCTCCCCCCACATCAGATATCAGCATCACATAAGTTCAGTTTGCAAGGAATGTTCCTGACCATTCAAAACGACCTTCCCCTGGTCCCCACCATGTCTTGCCTGTGTCCTCGGTAAAGCTCAATCTTCACCTTGGCCCACCAGGCCCCTGTCCATTCCCCAACCTCTCTTCCCACCCCTATCCCTGTTTTTAGGAAAGTCAAGAAGGTTTCTTCTCAGCTCAGGGATCTTGTACTGTTCCTTCACGAGAAGGTTTCTCCTTTCCCTCAGATTGTTATTTACCAAACTCCTAGTCATCCGTTAGGTGAAAGTGCCCTAGATCTGCAATTGGGATCCCTGGCCTGGGTCCCATGCTTTGTAAGCCCCATCTGGGCCCTTGTCCAGCTGTGTCCCTCACCATATGTGAGAAGTCTGTGGGGTGGGAGGGCAGGTCCACTCACAGGCTACATACACACTTCTAGCTGATTCACCCCTTACACACCCAGGCCTCCTAAATCCCCCATCAATAAAAAGCCCAAGCCTGTTTTCAGTTTGCAAGGGCCTTTTGTCTGGATCAGTCCTCCTGAGGGTAGATCATAGCTCCTAGGCCCAACGGCTAGCTAAGGGGCAGCAGGGTGGACAGAGTTTGAACTTGAGGCCTGAGGTGTCTACACACTGGCAACGAGCCAGGATGGGAAGAGAAGGAGGCAGACCGACAAGCTGGGGCTTCCTTTGCACATGTGTCCTGGTCCATAAAGCCAGGAGTGCAGCTGCCTTTGGGAATCTGATGAGAACATCATTTTCTTGAGATAATGTCCTTGATCATCCGCCTGGTCTTTATCCATGGGCTATGCATTCTGTATGGCCTCAGGGCACAGTTAGCATGTATTCCGCAGGAAGGCAGAGGCTGGGTCTGCTGCACTATGGG